AAAAATACTGACCTACAGCACAAAAAATGAATGAAGTCCGAAGACGCAAAAAAAATAAATATAAAAATAAAAAAATAAAAAATAAAATAAAAATACCTTTCTGTCTCTTTCTTTCTCTCTCTCAAAAGTAACTTTATTAATGATTGATTAGAAATGTTGATTAAAAATATTATCCTTACTGATTTTCTTTCTCTGTCTTTCACAAAAGTACATTGTTGCATAAACGACCTCAAGAGTCAAGACGACATTTCTAATCAACATATCTAGTCAATCACAAAAAAACAACAGAATTGCTTTTTTGTGATTGACTAAATATGCTGATTAGAATGGTCGTCTTGACTCTTAAGGTCATCTACACGCTTTTAAACAACGCACTTCCTTCCAGGGAAAAAAAAAAAAAGTGACGTTCGCTTTTTTCTTTACATAAATAAAAATATTTTGAAGTTAAATCATAAATTTCTCTTAACTTCCAGAAAAAACCCAAGCATCATCCCTCTATTCATGGAATATCCGAACGGTTAAAAAAAGATAAATAATGAATATAAAGATATTATATTATAAGTATTAAATTAAATAATAAATATAAAAATTTAAAATTATTTATTTATTTGTATTATTTAACTAACTTATTATTTATATTTATATAATTAAAATTTTATATATACTTATTATACTTAATATTTATTAATAATAATAAATTTTAAACCAAACATAAAACACAAAAAACAATAATATCTTAAACTAAAACATTTTTATCATTCAATAAATACATAAAGATATACTTGTAAATTGTTTAATACCTATTAAATTAAATATCAAATATAAATCTTTAAATATTTAATTAAATATTAAATTTAAAAAATTACATCTAAAATTTTTAAATTAAATAATAAACATTTACCCACAAAAAAAAAAAAAAAAAAAGGACTTACCCATTCTGTCTCTTTCTTTCTCTCTTTCTCAAAACTCCAAAAGCAATTTTATTAATGATTTGATTAGAAATGCTGATTAAAAATGTTGTCTTTCGTGATTTTCTCTTTCTTTCTTTCTTTTTTTTTTTAATTTTATCATGAGAATATTTTTATGATTTAATAATCAATTTATTCTTATAAATAATTTTTCATATTAAATTTAAAAAATGTCAAACTCAATTTCCACCTAACATTTAACAAAGAAAGAAACTTTGTTAGATAAGAAAAAAAAATGCAACTTTGTCATGACTTTTTTTTTTTTTAACAAGAGTAATGATTATAGGAAATTAGTATGAGTTAGTTGTTAATAACTGATCCTTAGACCAAAGGAACATTCCACCTCTCAAAATGAGGCGTGCGGCCGTCAAACCATTTTTTGATGAAGTTTATGACAGTGGTAAAATTCAAAACTCCAACCACTTTACTCAAGCATTTAAGGTTTGACATCGAACCATTGGACGTGAAGTTTTGGTTTGCAACTTTGTAATGATTGACTA